ACAGGACTCAATGGGTTCCAATTGGGATTATCTTGTTGTCAATGGCATGGGGACCGCCAGTGGGCTCCCAAATTGCTATGAAACAGACCATCACAAAGCTGCTCGTGATTGGATTTTGGTCGTACAGTATTCCAACACCCATCCCTCCACCAGTGCACTTTTCCCAGTGCCAGTGTCCCCAGGTTCCCTCCCATCACCCCAACTCCCCAAACCCTGCAGTTGTTGTTTTTTAAATACACCAAAGGCTTTTACTAAAATTCTGAAGGTAGGAAACAAAACAAGCTCCCAGAGCAGGGGCTGGAGCGTTAGTCCAGCGGGTAGGGCGATTGTCTTGCACGCAGCTGCCCTGGATTCGATCCCCAGCATCCCATCTGGTCTCCGAGCACCGCCAGGAGTAATTCCTGAATGCAGGACCAGGAGTTGCCCCTAAGCATCGCCGGGTGTGGCCCCAAACCAACCAAACAAAAAAGTTCCCGGAGTGTAGAGAGGAGCAGGAAAGAAGCAGTGAAGGGGACGGGGAGGAGAGATGGATGGAAAGCAACAGGCTCAGGGTCAAGAGGATTCCGGTGGTGTTAAGGACTGACTGAGCTAAATCTCCAACCCACAGAGCCAACACTGAAATCACGAGACCCAAACTTTAATAACCACATTGAAAATGTGCCTGTCAGATGGCAGCCTGGCGGGGACGGGGGTAGGAGAGGAGACCTTGGGACACTGGCGAAGGAGAGTTGACAGTGGCTACAGGGTCAGTGATGGAACACTGTAGGTCAAAAACCCAATTATGAATAACCATGTAAAAAATGCATAAATTTTTTACCCCAAAAAATCGTAAAATTTGTAAAAACTTTCATAAAATAAAATTTGGGGAGGGGGGAGGGGAAGTCAGCAAAAACACAAAGCAAAACGCCCAGCCCTCTGGATTTGTCCTCAACATGCTGCTTGATCTGCTTTAGAAGCAACTTCCAGAAGGCTCCTCCCATCCTAGGAAAGCCCGAACCCCTTTTTTTTTTCTTTTTGGGTCACACCCAGCGATGCACAGGGGTTACTCCTGGCCCATACACACAGGAGTCACTCCTCGCAAACGCCCTACCCGCTGTGCTATCACTCCAGCCCCCCAAAACCCTCTTCGGTTCACTTCTGCCCTGGACGTTTGTGCAGCCACCCTTACAGTCTAGAGCAGGAGCTGCCGTTGCTCCTGGCTCGGGGAGAGGCTGGGGGGCTTCAGGCTCCTCCCCCAGTGTAGACTCCCCCAGGCACACTCAGGAGAGGCCCTGAGGTCTCAGCCAGAGCAGCCTCAAGCATAGCCGGGGGTGACCCCAAACCCCCAAACAGGAAAATAACCGAATTGACAAGGCTGTGTTTCAATATAATTTTATTTACAGACACTGTCACTGTCATCCTCCCATTGTTCATCAATTTTCTTGAGCGGGCCCTGTAACATTGTGAGACTTGTTACTGTGTTTGGCATATCGAATACATCATGGGGAGCTTGCCAGACTTTGTCGTGCGGGCGAGATTCTCTCAGTAGCTTGCCGGGCTCTCGGAGAGGGGTGGAGGAATTGAACTCGGGTCGGCCATGTTGGCTGTGTGCAAGGCAAACGCCCTACCCACTGTGCTATTGCTCCAGCCCATTTTCTGTCACTGTCCTCCCGTTGTTCATGGATTTTCTCGAGTGGGCCCAGTAACATCTCCATCATGAGACTTCGTTGTTACTGTGTTTGGCATATTGAATACATCACGGGTAGCTTGCCAGGCTTTGCTGTGAGGGCGAGATACTCTCGGTAGCTTGCCAGGCTCTCCAAGAGGGGTGGAGGAATCAAACCCGGCTCGGCTGGGCTGGCTGCGCACAAGGCAAACGCCCTACCACTGTGCTATCACTCTAGCCCATTTACAGACACTAAAACGTAAATTTTGTATTTTGTTTTGTGCATGTCAAGAAATAGTTTCCTTCTCTTCCTCCTCCTCCTCCCCTTCCTCCTCCTTCTTCAAAGAAGTTATGAATTCTGGCTTCTCCAGAAACCAGGCTTGATTCTGGGTCTGTGATTTGACCAGTGAGCATAGGAAGCACGGGGTGAGCCTTTATTTGCTCACATTGATTTGGGAGCCCACTGGTAGTTGAGGTTAAAAAGATCTTACAAGTGCTCTTTATAAGTGAATGGACTTGGAGAATATCATGTTGAGTGAAATGCATCAGGAGAGGGACAGATCTGGAATGACTGCATTCATTTGTGAGATATAAAAAAAAAATAGTATAAGACTATTATCCAGGGCCAGGTAAAACAGGGGCCAGGAGGACTGTTCAATGGTTGGAAACTTGCCGCAATGGGGGGTGGGGGTGGGGGGCAGGCACAAAAGTCAGTTAGGATAGAGAATGGAATAGTGTGACAATAATAGTTGGAAATGAGTCTTTTGAATAGGAGCTGAGTATTGAAAGTAGGTAACCTTTCAGTATCTTGTATTGCAAACCATAAGGCCCAAAAGGAAATAGGAGAGAGAGAGAGAGAGAGAGAGAGAGAGAGAGAGAGAGAGAGAGAGAGAGACTGTATGGGAAGGGGGAAAAGGAAGGAAACTGGGGACATGAGTGGTGGGAAATGTACACTGGTGAAGGGACAGGTGTTGAAACATTATATCACTGAAACCCAATTATGAACAACCTTGCAACTGTGTATCTCACTGTGATTCCATTTTTAAAATGGAATTTTTTAATGATTTTAAATGATTTCAAAATTTTTTAATTAAAAAATATTTTTTTAAAGCAACAGATAGAGTGCTCTTCCCAGGTCAGGGAGGGTGGGCTCAAGCATATGGGACACCGGGATTTCATCCCCAGCACCAGATGGCCCCCAAATACCACCAGGAGTGATCCCCAAGCCCTAAACAGGGAGTTACCTCCCAGAAGAATGAAACCAGCAGAAGGCGGGGACCTTCTCCTCCTAGCACTGCAAAATGATACACAAACCAATAAGAAAATAATCATCAGAATGGTTCCTAGTGCCCTGGTGAAAAGCAGACTTTTGAAGTCTGGTTTCAAATATCGACTCTTCCACGCACCAGCTGTGCTATCGGGCTCTGCCTCTTCAGCAAATGTCACTGGGAAGAAGCCCTCGGGCTCCAGGAGGGTGGGCAAGAGTCCAGGAGAGCTGAGAGGCCTGGTTTCCGCCAGGGGCCGGTCCCCCGGAAGCTCCTCAGCGGTGGCTCTTATGAAGGTGAGCCCCGAGCTTTGCAAAGATGACCTCGTCCTCCTACGGTTCCACTTTGTTCTTTGAGGAGCTGCTGGGTGAGCGGCCATGCTCGGGGGAGTCTCAGGCTTGGTCGGAGGGTTGGACACTCTTGCCCCCACCTAGCACCCCAGCTTGGCAGGCAGGGGTGAGAACAGTCCTGCACCCGAGTCCCGCTGTGGGATGGTGCAGAGCTGCTATTGTTAGAGCTGGAGCAATAGCACAGCGGGGAGGGCGTTTGCCTTGCACGCGGCCGACCCAGGGTTCGATTCCCAGCATCCCATAGGGTCCCCCGAGCACCGCCAGGAGTCATTCCTGAGTGCATGAGCCAGAAGTAACCCCTGTGCATTGCCCCGTGTGACCCAAAAAGAAAAAAAAAAATAAAGCTGTGATTGTTTGCCGAGCAGCAGCAGAGTCATTCTGCTGAGTCCTGAGATTGGTTAATTGGCTGGTTAGCAAACAGCCGCCAGGAGTTCATGTCACAGAAAGAAAAGGAAGCAAAACGCCCTCTTCTTTGAGTTCCCTAAGATGTGCCCCGGGTTTGAGGCCTCCTGATGGAGTGAACCCCTCCATCTGAAGGCACAGGGTGATGGGCGTGAGGGAGTGTGGAGGGAGGGCCTGGCCCTGCCCCCTGGATGAGCATTACAGGGGCGAGTGGGCGATTTCTGTGTCTCTGCCTGGGATTCTACCCGTCGTGATTGGGACTCTGGCTCGGCGCCTTGTTTTATATTTTAATAGTCTTTGAGTTAATAAGCAGAGTGGCTTGAACGAGAGATACTTATTGTTTATATGTGACTCTGTTCTTTAACTTTAAAGTTAAATCATGAGTTCAGTTCATTGAAACCAATTTATTAAAAAATTTTAGGCACTGTGGTTATAATACTGTTAATGGTAGAGTCTCTAGGGCTGGAGAGATTAGGACAGTGGGTAGGGTGCTTGATTTGCACCCAGCTGAAGCAAGTTCGATCCCTGGCATCCCATATGGTCTCCTGAGCACTGTCAGAAGTAATTCCTGAGTGCAGAACCAAGAGTAAGCCCAGGGCATTGCTAGGTGTGGCTCCAAACACCAAAAATAAACCAACACAAAATTGGTGGAGTTTCCTGCAGGAATCATTCCTACACCACGCTGTTCCACTTTCCATTGTCCCAGTACCCTGCCCCCAACAACCTATCTCCCCCTCTGTCCCCTCGATGGTCTCCCCCTACTAGAGGCCAGTTCTCAGTTTCTGATGCCTTTGGGCATTGGTTATTCTCCTCCTCTGTTTCTTTCGAGCCCTCCTGTGAGAGAGATCTTCCTGCACCTTCCCCTCCCTTTCTGACTCACTGAGCTCAGCACAGTGCTCTCCAGAGCCCTCCCTCTCGCAGCAAACTGCATGATTTCATCTTTCCTTCCCACCCCAGTGCTAACCAGGCCCCGACCCTGCTTGGCCAGATGAGATCAGGCGCGTTCAGGGTGCTATGGTCATAGACCAATTTTATCTTCTCTTCTCTATGACTCGGTTCTCGTCTCCTCACCCAGACAAGCTCACGAAACCTTGGTGTGGACTTCCTCTGTGAAACGGGGAGCAAGGTCAGGGAGAGAGCCCCACGGGGTTACCAGAGGAAGTCTGAGTGACAGAAGTGAGCCCCCAGCACTGCACTGGAAGGAGCTGACACCTCCCGAATGACACCGCTGGATGTGCCTCCCCACCCCAAACAGGAAGCTCGATGTGCTTGCCTCCACTCAGCTCTCGCTGCCTCCCACGGAAGTCGCTGAACTGGGGATCTTGTTTGTTTCCACAGGGGCTTTCCGAGGCGTGTGCAAGAAAATCGACCACTTTCCGGAAGATGCTGATTATGAACAGGACACAGCCGAGTATCTCCTGAGTGAGTCCCCTCCTCCTCTCCCCACTTGGATCTCCCCCAGGAAAGAGGAGGGTCCCCCCAATAACCCCCTGAAGCTATGGCTGGATAGAAGGCTCCTCACGGCACCACTCAAAATGAATATGTACAAAAGAGTTCCACGGGGTCTCTGCTTGTAGATAAAGACACTCAAGTGGTTCCAACATCCAAATCTGCTTCACTGCAACGCACTAGCAATAGTTTTTTGTTTGTTGTTTGTTGTTTGTTGTGTTTTGGCTTTTTGGGTCACACCCGGCAATGCTCAGTGGTTACTCCTGGCTCTGCACTCAGGAATGACTCCTGGTGGTGCTTGGGGGACCATATGGGATGCTGGGAATCGAACCCAGGTCAGGAGCGTGCAAGGCAAATGCTCTACCCTCTGCACTATTGCTCTGACCCCTAGAGGGTTTGTTTTTTTTTTAAGGAAAAAAAAATGAGCTCAAATGGAAAGGTTAGTTCCTCCACTTAGGGAGAAGGACCAGGGGAGACCCAGTTTCTTCCCCATGCCCAGGGTTGAAGTGCTAATGGGTGAGGCCTGAAGGTGAGGTACTAATGGGCGATCCCCAAGAGGCCAGGCCGCATTGGGGTGGGCCAGAAATACAGGTGTGCTGCATTGATCTCCCTTTGATTTGGATCAGATGGAGCCTGGCAGTGTCTCCAGAGGGCTGTCCCAAGGGTGGTCCATGTTCACTTGGTGGACTTGACCTGAGTTGTCATTGGGGCAGCGACCAGGAGGAGTGAGAGGGTGATTCGAAGCAACAGTTCTGGGTTCCAGGCTTCAGCTGGCACTGACACTCTATTAGCTGGGTCCCACCCAGACCAAAGACCCCTCTGGCTCTTCATGGTCCTGATTCGAGATCAGGAGGAAAGGTTCTGGACTCCACACAGTCCCGACCTCTGTCCAGGCACACAAGGAGCTTGGAACTGAATGTCGTCAGAGTGTGATGTCTGGAGCTAAAAGGACAGGACAGCAGGGCGGGCATTTGCCTTGCACATGGCTGACCAGGGTTTGATGCTCAGCATTTATGTGGCTCCCTGAGCACTGCCAGGTGTGGCCCATGAGCACAGAGCCAGGAATGAGCCCTGAGCACAGAGCCTGGAGTGATCCCTGAGCACAGAGCCAGGAATGAGCCCTGAGCACAGAGCCAAGAGTGATCCCTGAGCACAGAGCCAGGAGTGAGCCCTGAGCATAGAGCCTGGAATGAGCCCTGAGCACAGAGCCAGGAGTAAGCCCTGAGCATAGAGCCTGGAATGAACCCTGAGCACAGAGCCAGGGGTGAGCCCTGAGCACAGAGCCTGGAATGAGCCCTGAGCACAGAGCCAGGGGTGAGCCCTGAGCACAGAGCCTGGAGTGATCCCTGAGCACAGAGCCAGGAATGAGCCCTGAGCACAGAGCCAAGAGTGATCCCTGAGCACAGAGCCAAGAGTGATCCCTGAGCACAGAGCCAGGAGTGAGCCCTGAGCATAGAGCCTGGAGTGAGCCCTGAGCACAGAGCCAGGGGTGAGCCCTGAGCACAGAGCCAGCAGTGATCCCTGAGCACAGAGCCATGGGTGATCCCTGAGCAGAGTCAGGAGTAAGCCTTGAACACAAGCTCCAAAGCGAAAATGAAAGCCACATGACAGCCAAAAAAGAAAAAAAGAGCATTTATTAGGGGCCTTGGAGTAACACCGAGATTAAGGTGCGTGCCTGCAGCTGAGCCTGGTTCAGTCCCCAACACGATCCAGAGAAAGTGGTACTGCCAGGGCTCACTCCTGAGTGCAGAGCCGGGCACAGTCTCTGAGCCGCACCAGTAAGATGGAACACCCCCACCCCACCCCCACCCCCAAACAAGAGAAGTTTGTGCCTCCCTTTGGTGGCCTGTCCACCTGTCCTGGGTCCCAGTTACTATTTGGCGCCACAGTCCTTGGGTACGGGGGCACTTTTAGGCACTTGCCGCCTGCCTAGATTCTCCCAGTGTCCTTGCCCAGGTCCCCACCTGGAGCTGACGGTCACCAGTTGAGGTGCAGGGAGTGGATGAGCCTGTCCCAGGAAGAATGGGGAGGCAAGGGTACGGCTGGTGGGGTCCCCTGCCCCTCCCACCCCATGACGCCAGAGCAGAGGGCCCTGAGCACCCCCTGCCTGCCGCCCCCATGGTCTTCCTTGGCATCCGGCTCCTGGTGGGCACCCAGCACCTCTCTCCTGTTCGCAGGGGCGGTCAGGGCCTCCAGCGTCTTCCCCATTCTGAGCGTCACGCTGCTGTTCTTCGGCGGGCTCTGCGTGGCAGCCAGCGAGTTCCACCGCAGCCGGCACAATGTCATCCTCAGCGCGGGCATCTTCTTTGTCTCAGCGGGTGAGCGGGGGGTGGGGGAGGGATGGGGGGGCGGGCCTGGGGTCTGTGCATGGGTCCCTGTCTTGAGGCTTTTCTGGGGGGGGGGGACACATCAGGCTAACACTCGTCAGGCTGATGCGTGGAAGCCATGGGGACGGTGAGTCGTAGCAGGCAGCTGACCAGAACACCCACCTCGGCATCCTGAGGGGCTCCCCGGGCCCTGTCAGGAATGATCCTGAGTGCAGAGTCACGAGGACACTCTGAGCACCACTGAGGAAGGCCCCAAACCAACCCCCAAACGGAAGCTACGGTGTGAGAAAGTTGGTTGGGATGAGCACAGCCCTGGCCCCCTGGCCCCACTAACCCCCCTTGCTCCCCAAAAGCCCCTTGGGGTGCTTCTACCCCCTGTTCCATTAGCCCTTGGGGGAGATGGTGGCCTTGCCCATCGGGAATGATAGCTTCATGGCCCCAAGTCCTGATTCTCCAACAGTATCTAACACCATCATTTCTTTTACATTTGAGCTACACCCAATGTGCTGGGCGGGGGTGGGGGGGGGGTGGGGGGGTCAATCCTGGCTTAGTCTGGCAGCACTAGGGGAACTATGCCGTGCCAACTTAGGGCTGCCCCTTGGGCTCTCTCCTGGCCCCCTAATGCAGTATCATCTTCTCAGCAGATAGGTAGGAAGGAAGGAAGGAAGGAAGGAAGGAAGGAAGGAAGGAAGGAAGGAAGGAAGGAAGGAAGGAAGATTTAGAGGACTGGGGCTGGAGCTATAGCACAGCGGGTAGGGCGTTGGCCTTGCACGCGGACGACCCGGGTTCGATTCCCAGCATCCCATAGGGTACCTTGAGCACCACCAGGAGTGATTCCTGAGTGCAAAGCCAGGAATAACCCCTGAGCATCGCCAGGTGTGACCCAAAAAAGGAAAAGAAAAAGAAAGATTTAGAGGACTGAGAGGCATGGAGTAGCCAGGACTATTCTTAATTCGTAGTCCATCTGACCTGGGTTGGATCTTTGGCACCCCAGAGCTGCCCGAGTGCCCTGGAGGCCCGCAAGCACCACCAGGGTGACAGGGATAATCCCCCACACCGCATCCTGGGACTCTCACATTGAATCACTGGCCCAGTTGACCAAGGAGATCAGTGTGGAGAGGGGCCTCCAGGCCTCCTGAGCACTATTTGGGAGCAGCCCTGCAAAAAATAAAAAGACTTAGAAGGCTGCTGCCCCTCCCAGATGGGCTTCTCTGGATAACCAGACACACCCTCTCACTGTCCACCCAGCCCTCACCCAGAGCCTCGATGTAGTACTCTCCTGTCTCCCCCTTTCTCTACGCCTGGTTTCACTGCTGCCTGATCCTTTATTTTTGGGGTTCCTCCTGGCTCTGCACTCAGGAATCACCCTTGGCGGTGCTCAGGGGACCATATGGGATGCTGGGGATCGAGCCTGGGTCAGCCGTGTGCAAGGCAAATGCCCTACCTGCAGTGCTATCACTCCAGCCCCTGCCTGTTCCTTTAGCACGAGGTTCCACACCTCCCCATTGTGTGCTAGAACCTCAGGAAGACCCTTTCAATCCCTCTGTCCCCATCCATTGTCACTGCTCTTCTGTCTCCTGGCGCACCCAATCAGCATTCACAGGGTGCAGTCCCTGTGCCCCTGTGCCTTCATCCAAGTCCAGTGGCTTAGTCTTTGTCGTCTCTTTGGCCCCTATTCACCACCCCACTTGCCCATGTCTCTGTGGCACCTTGACTAACAGATGATGACTGTGTCTCACAGTCTGCATCGCCAGCTTCTGAGGAGGCCCAGGGAGTACAACCTGGGTCTGATGCCTCTTAGCAGCCTGGTGACTCGGGGCCCCTGATTCCATTTCAGGGGGATGAATGACTTCGAAGGGGACACAGTCATTCCGTGAGCCACCCCTGAGTAGGGGAGGATGGCGCTGAATGAGCTCCACCTGGGACCGAGTGTTGATTTCTGCATTTCCCAGGAGACAAATCGGGCCAGAGGCGCTCAGTCTTGTGTTCCCACATTCTCCTGCTGCTGCAGAAAATCAGCCCGATTAGACTGGCAGGATCCAAGTGGGCACTTGGCAGTGTTGAGAAGCTGGGAGTTTATTTCATGTCTTGGGCTCCGATGGAGAAGACACCTCCTGAGTCTCTCTCTGAGCAAGGGCCAGAGTCATAGCACTTCGTGAGGTGTTGTCTTGTACACTGAAAACCTGGGTTCGATCCCTGGCACCCCACTTGCTCCAGAGCTCACCAAGAATGATCCCAAAACGTAGAGCCAGGAGTAAACTCTGCGCCCAGCCAGGTGTTTCAGCCAACAAACAAACAAAAGGCAAATATCTGAGTGATGCATGAGTACAAGCCTGGGGCTCATCCACCTTTACCAGTTCTGTGGATGTCATTAAACAAAGGTTATGGGGCTGGAGGGATAACATAGCGGGTAGGACATTTGCCTTGCATGTGGCTGACCCAGATTCAACTCGTGGCATCCCATATGGTCGCCCAAGCACCGCCAGGAGTAATTCCTGAGTGCATGAGCCAGGAGCAACCTCTGTGCATGGCCGGGTGTGACCCAAAAAGCAAAAAATTAAAAAATTTTTAAAAATAAATAAAGTTTACGCATGCACGGGAACAAGAAGCAGAGGCTTGGGCAGGCAACGAAGACTTCGAACTAAAGGGAGAAGGAGTCTCCAGAATTTTTCCCCTGGGGAGTCTTGGCGCATATAGAAGACAGCAGGTAGGATTAGAGAAAGAGTAATGGGTGAGCAGCGAACCCAGAAAAGCATCAGTAAACTGAGAGGAGCAAGAAGGGAGGGCTGGAGTTTTTCTCTGCAGCAGTAGGAGGGGTGTGTGTGCGTGCGTGTGTGTGTGTGTGTGTGTGTGTGTGTGTGTTGTGGGGGGGAAGGAGCTGGTGTTTTCCTTCCAGAGAAGCATCCCATCCTGCTTCTCAGCTTCAGTCCTTCCTGCCACGTTCCCATAGACCCGTCCACGTTGAGACTGAAAGCGAATGAGCGTTCTGCCCACGGTTCACTGAAACCGTATTCCTCTTCTCCCATCTCCCAGGGCTCAGCAACATCATAGGCATCATCGTTTATATATCCGCCAACGCCGGAGACCCCGGGCAACGGGACTCGAAAAAGGGCTACTCCTACGGCTGGTCCTTCTACTTCGGCGCCTTCTCGTTCATCATCGCGGAGATCGTGGGCGTCGTGGCCGTGCACATCTACATCGAGAAGCATCAGCAGTTACGCGCCAAGTCGCACTCGGAGTTCCTAAAGAAATCCACCTTTGCCCGCCTTCCACCCTACCGGTATCGGTTCCGGCGGCGGTCCAGCTCACGCTCCACCGAGCCCAGGTCCCGAGACCTGTCCCCCATCGGCAAAGGCTTCCACACCATCCCTTCCACCGACATCTCTATGTTCACCCTCTCCCGGGACCCCTCAAAGATCACCATGGGGACCCTCCTGAACTCCGACCGGGACCATGCTTTTCTACAGTTCCACAATTCCACGCCCAAAGAGTATAAAGAGTCGCTGCATAATAACCCGGCCAACCGGCGCACCACGCCCGTTTGAACTGACCTCTGCCCTCTGCCCTCCGCCCCAGCCCAGCCTCGGGAGGGGCCCATGGACGGAGGTGTCCTGGAGGTTGCATGGCATGGTCCTCGTGATGGTATTACTTTTTACAAAGAATGAAACCAAATGGACTCCACCCCCCTCCTCCCACCACACACACACGCCACAATGGGTCCCTGGCCCCCTCCTCATCCCTCCGTTGCCCCCCGTGAATTTCAAACCTCTCCCCCCAGAGATCATTCCTGTCTGCGTGTCCGTGCCACATGTCTTCCCTTCTTCCTTCTGTTCTGGAAGGACCCCCACATCCTTCCCTCCTCGGAAGAGGACTTGGCTAATAGAGTCACAAGTGGTGGCTGGGGTGGGGGGGCCGTGTCGCCTACACAATTGTCCCTCTTGTCCACTCTCACATTCTCCCCCAGGACACCAACCGCCTAGGTGACCCCGGGGGGAGGCATTCACCTTTACCTGTTAGAAACAAACAAACAAAAAAAAAATGAAATAAAAGCTGTTGGAGCCCCAATGCAGCTACTGTAATAAGCGCTCATGTTATTAAAGGTTTTGCCTTGTCGTAGCCAATGGAGTCAGGTGTTTTGTGGCTTCCGGGTTCTTCCTGTGTAGATGTTGCCTTGTGGACCTCACTGGCTGGTCTTGAGGCTGGAAGCTGAGCAGTGTCCACCCAGACGCCAATATCTGGGAGTCACCCCACCCTCCTGGCAGCGTGCACCTCGAAAAATGTCAGCATGGGGGGCTGGAGCAATAGCACAGTGGGTAGGGCATTTGCCTTGCACACAGCTGACCCAGGTTCGATTCCCAGCATGCCATATGGTCCCCTGAGCACCGCCAAGTGTGACCCAAAAAAAGCAAAAAAAAAAAAAAACTCAATAAAAAATGAAAAAATGTCAGCATGGATGACTCCCTGGAGTGCTGAGCAGGGGTGCTTTCATGGATTCTGGGGCTCAAATTTAGGTCCTGGCACACAGTTGCCCTTCATCTGTAAAACAGAACATGGCCATAAATCTGCCCTCCCTGAGGTTTCACCGGACGTGACCAGCAGAGACCAACGCACTATCATTAATCAAGATACCACTTTAAAAGTCTAGATGAGGGGACAGAGAGATAGTGCAGTGGTTAGGGTACTTGTCTTCTATGCGGCTCTCTCCTATTTCTGGAAGCTGAGAATCAAGATGAGCAGCTGAGGGACTGGAGCAATAGCACCGCAGGTAGGGCGTTTGCCTTGCAGGCAGCTAACCTGGGTTCCATTCCCAGCATCCCATATGGTCCCCCGAGCACTGCCAGGAGTCATTCCAGAATGCATGAGCCAGGACTAATCCCTGTGCATTGCCCGGTGTGACCCAAAAAGAAAGAAGAAGGAAAACAAAAATGAGCAGCTGGTCCCTTTCGTTCCTGGAGAGGGCGCCCTTCCAGGCTGGCAGACAGTGTCCTCACATCAGAGGGGACATCTCATAAAGCCTCTGAGGTCATCCCAGGGGCCATGCCCTCATGACTTCATCTGACCCGGTCACTTTCCACCATTCTCACTCCCACAGATGATGCCACAGAGAGTTGGGTCTTGAATATATTCGTTTGGAAGAGGGGTGACATTCGGTTAACAGCATTATTGTAGGAAAATGAAAGTTGATAGGAGATGCTCCCCAACGTGTGTGTGGTGGGGCATGGGACAGTCTGGACGTAGCCCTGAGGTGGGTGGAGAGTGAGAGCAGGAAGCCCCAGGACTATGTGGGGATTTTCTGAGGAGACGGAGGTCACCTCTGCTGCCCTGGCTCCCTGGAGCATCCTTGCCCACAGCCAGTCCTTCACACTTGCAAAGAGCTTTTCCACCTCGGGGCCCCCCATCGCTCCAGAGGCAGAATTCAGAACTCACACTTATCTCATGCCGCTCGCTTAGGGCCCGGCTGTTCCCTAGCACCGTCCACACGTTCCATCGCTTAAGCTTCCAGCAAAATTCGCATTGTCCCAAGGAAGGGGGAAAAAAAATAGTAATGAGGCAAGAGAGGTGACCTGATTTGCCCCGACCTTACCCTTCACCCCCAGAAGGCAGAAGTTCGGGGGCAGGGGGGACAGTCACTTGCCCAACACTCACACTATGAACTTTTCCCAAAAACTAATTTATTGGGGTCAGAGAGATAGCACCGAGGGTAAGGCACTTGCTTTGCATGCAACGCACCGGGACCCTAAACTGTCCCCCAAGCACCCCCAGATGGGATCTGAGTACAGAGTCAGAAGTAAGCCCTGAGCACTCCCAGGTATGCTGCTCTCTCTCTCTCTCTCTCTCTCTCTCTCTCTCTCTCTATATATATATATATATATATATATATATATATAGCACTGTAGCACTGTCCTCCCATTGTTCATCGATTTGCTTGAGCAGGCACCAGTAATCTCCATTGTGAGACTTGTTACTGATTTTGGCATATTGAATACGTCATGAGGAGCTTTCCATGCTCTGCTGTGTGGGTGGAATACTCTCGGTAGCTTGCTGGGCTCTCGGTATTCTCGGTGGAATACTCTCGGTAGCTTGAGAGGGACGGAGGAATCAAACCTGGGTCGACCGCATGCAAGGCAAACACCCTACCCACTGTGCTATTGCTCCAGCCCATGAATAAATATAAAAAAAAAATAATTTATTGGGGCCAGAGAGAATGTTCAATGGGTAGGGCATTTGCCTGGCACTAGGCCAACAGGTTCTGATCCCCGGCATCCCATATGGTCCCCAAACACCACCAGGAGTAATTCCTGAGCACAGAACCAGGAGTAACCACTGAGTGCTGCCAGGCATGACCCCAAAACAGAACAAATTTATTAAAGTAGCATTAAATGACAAGAGTGCAAATGTCTGTGGTGCATTGTTACCAAGTTGGCCACCACCTCAGGGTCTGTCCCCTCCCACCACCATCCGCACAGCCCTTCCCTGTTCACAAGCCTGCCCTCCTCGGTGATCATCAGTTCTCTGGTCAGTCTCTGGCTTGCTGCCTTCGGCTTTGTCAGTTTCTTTGCCCTGTTTCTCGATACCCCACGGAGGAGAGAGCTCCCCTGTTTCCCTCGGCAGCTCTCCTTTCCGTCCCATTCAGCTGTGGCAAAAGAGCGTCTTCCCGTGTGAGTTCAGTAGTCTTCCAGCACGTCCTCCCGGGGCACGCCTCTGCTGCTGGGCTCTGGGGTTGTCTCCTGATCTTGCCGATTGTCAACAGCACCGCCTCAGACATAGGTGTGCTTATGTGTTGGGGGGCTGGAGCGATAGTATAGCGGGTGGGCATTTGCTTTGCATGCGGCCTGACCCGGGTTCGATTCCCAGCATCCCAGACGGTCCCCTGAGCACTACCAGGAGTAATTCCTGAGTGCAGAGCCAGGAAAAACCCCTGAGTATCACCAGGTAAGACCCAAAATTTAAAAAAAAAAATAGCGTTGGTGTGCTTGGGAGAGAGATGCCAAGGAGAGGAATTGCGAGATGCAATGGGAGTTCTACTTGGAATATTTCAAGAAGTCTCCAGACTACTTTTCCTTAGAGGGCAAACCAGCTTCCTTTCCCACCAAGAGAGAAAAGAGTTTGCCTTTTCCTCCATATACCCACCAGCAAACTTTTCTGAAAGAAGCCATTCTTCCTACCCTATAACTTAGTTCTAGAATACAGACTCTCTTTTTTTGTTCGTTCTTTTGGGGTTGCTCAGGGCTTACTCTTGGTGGGTTCAGGGGATCATATGTGGTGCTGGAGGGAAACCCAGGTCGGCTGAATGCAAGGCAAGAGCCCTAACCACTGGATTATCTCTCTGGCCCCTAGAATTAAAACACTGAACAACTGATTTTGTTTAGTCCTTGAGAATCCTGTGTTCCCCCAAGAGGACATCAAACAAGTTCAGGGAATCCTTCATGGAGTAGCAATTGTTCTCAGAATCTGGGCTGGTAAGGAAATAGAGGATCCCAGTGGGATGGGAGACTCAGGGGCCGAGCCGATACTTACACCCAACCTCTGCTTTCTACCCCAAGTGACTTGCCCCTCGGCAGCGTTTTTCCAAACCTCAGTCCTGTGGGTCCACCCCTCGCTGAGTGAGTCACAGTCATATATCACCTTGATGATTATTCACAATTTGCTTTCAACTGACGAACTCCTTTCCTCCAGAAACACATCTGGACGATCATATTTCTATTAAAGAGAAAACTGGAATTACTCACTAAGAAAATGATAAGTGAACTAACTGAATAGAATGAAAGCAAAGCCATCCCAGCCATGTCTGTTTACAGCATGTTCTCAGCTGGTGAGACAGGGGCTCCGCTATTCCAGCCTGATGAAGACGCATCCCTCCATGTAATGGAAAGGATTGAGGTGGCGCTGGAAAGGAAGCATCTTTCTCAGGCCATCGGGTTCCTGCTCGGACAAAGCTGCTGTGGTCAAATGCTCTCCGGTGAGTGGGTCATACTCGGGGAAAGAGCCCCGAGAAGTTGGGGAGAGGAGTAATTCCTGAGTGCAGAGCCAGGAATAATCCCTGAGCATCGCCAGATATTGCCCCCTCCTCAAACACCTTCCACCTACCCACCCTAAAAAAATTACAGGAAGCTTATAGGAAGAAAGGGTTTCAGCACTAAACTTGTTAGCTGACCCCTTTAGAAGCCAGGGACAAAGCCCTTCTTCCACGGTGGGGTCCCTAGAAGGACCTCCCCTCACCTCCCGAGGTCTGCTTATTGCAAGCCTTTGGCAACCCTTTGGCATGGGACCTCGGAATACCTTCGCTTGACTGACCACAGCTGCTGCCATCAAATGGATCAAATATGATCACTTCCGGTTCACCACCCAGAGCCAGCCCCTCTGTGTCATCCCAATCCCTCTACATCATTTGCTCTGAGGGTTTCCATGTAATCACAGTCTACGGTGCGCGCAAGCTCTGTCCCATGGAAGTAGACCAGATCTCTGCAGAGGTGATTGTTAATGTCAGACCCACAGGACAGAAGTTGACTCTTCAAACAACACCTCAAGTGCTCCATCCCACCTGACTCCAAAACTCATGGAAGAGACCCTTGCTGTACTTTCCCCTGGAACTCTCTTAAATCTCTGGCTCTGTGACTGAAGACAACCACTTTCTATCTCCCCCAAAGGCAGCCCCCTCTCCTGGCACACTCGTTTCTGGGCCCCCAGCACCCCACAGT